CATCCAGACAGAAACCCAATATTTTTTACTGTTGCCTTTTTGTTACATTTGTTATATTTAAACAGTAGGAAGTAGGGAGGAAGTTTTTTTCTTTTTTCTTACTACGTTCTTGTGTTCTATGATGCATGTATTTATTCTCCTGTTCGTTTGTCCTATGTATGTTGCAGGGCAGATTTTGCATGGTATTTTTTTGACTCCTTGGAGGCTGGATCTTGTCTTTGGAAAACGGCATCTCCGACCACGCTTTAAGCCAAAAACACCAGCCTGAGGATGGCGAATGAAATCTTGCCGAAACATTGCCAAGACAATCTCAATCTTACACGGGAAAAGATCCAAATACAACAAGATCAGCATACCTACACCCATGAAAATCTATGAATGTGTGTGTGTGTGTGTGTGTGTGTGTCTGCCTGCCTGCCTTCGGCTTCATGCTTGCACAAGCAAAGCATGATCGGAGCTTCCGTCTTTCTATAAATATTGGTGGGGTACGAAACAGCTGACTAATCTGCATACATCAACGCCATCAACTAATCAAGATGTAACAACACAGGCAATCAACCCGCTTACAGTAACAAAGCCAGCACTCCACACACACAAACCAATATTTATAGAAATACGGCAGCTCCGATCATGCTTTGCTCGCACAAGAATGAAGCCAAAGGCACCAGCCTGAACATGGCGAGTGGGACCTTATCAAAATGTCGCCAAGATACTCTCAATCTTACACAGGAAAAGACCCGAATACGCCAAGACCTGCCTGTGTGTGTGTGTGTGTGTATGCATGCGCGCGCGCACACACACACACACACATGTATGTATGTATGTATGTATGTATGTATGTATGTATGTATGTATATATTACATATCTATATATATAGCTAGATAGGTAGAAAGGCAGACAGACAGATAGATAATATTGAGAGGGCAAGGATAAACAGTCAGGGCAAAGGATTAAACCCTTCATATAGGAAGATTACAAAAGCACTTATTTGGGATCTGTGAAGAATTAAGTTCTTTTCCTTTACTTCATGTATTGGGTATGAAGCCAAATAATACTTTTGTTACCCAATATAGTTTTATAGAATAACCACTTATGTTAATTAACCATATTTACATTATTATAGCTTTTGCATTTCCTCATTAGAGAACAATAATTCTATTGAAAATGAGGTATTAATATAATGATTGGTGAAAAATTATACTCCATGTTACTTACAAATCCTTCCTTACTCCATGTTCCTTAAATCACACTCAAAGTCATGCCACTAAAAATGAAAGCTTATCTGTGGGATAGGCAGCTCATATTCAGAACAGACTGAAATGAAACAAGTCTCTGAAGAAGCTTTGTATGAACTCCAGTTTCAGGGGAAGTCTGCAATCAATTATTAGAGATTGACAAGACCATAGAATATACAAGTCAGCCACAGACAGCAAGAAGTGAAGAATTGGATCCCGGATTTCTTGACAGCTCTACAACCTGAATGGCCAAGTACAGAGCAGGTGCTTGTTGCCTGTGGAAACTCTGCTACTTGGAACTTGGACCAACAACCTCTGGGTCTTCTAGACCTTCATCCATCCTGACACAAGGGGATTGTGACTTTTTTTCTGTATATGTGTGTTTGCACATATGTCCTATCTATATTTATTAAATTCTTTCAAGTAAAGCTCCTTGCAAGTACTCCTCAGAATACTTGGTCATGTCTTGTCCACATACAGAATTAAAAAAACTTAGAATGGTGTGTGTGTGTGTGTGTGTGTGTGTGTGTGTGTGTGTGTGTGTGTGTGTGAGAGAGAGAGAGAGAGAGAGAGAGAAAGAAGCAAAAAGTATTGAAGATAATAAAGCAAATAGCATGATGTGGTTGAGCCATAATTTTACAGGAAGTCTTCCTTTGTTGAAGCTTTTAAAACTACTAATTTTATTCCCTATAAAATAGAGTTATAGATTTCTGAAATTGCTCAATTTTAATTTATTACAATAACAAGAACATTCTAAATAAATCAGAGGACAATATATTGTAATCAGTATAAAACAACAATGACAAACCCTCCAAAAATATAAATTACTGATCTATGGAATAGGAGAAAGGAGCAGGTACTAAACTACTAACCTTGAAACGGCTGATCAGATCATAGCGTGTGAGCAGTTCATAGAAAATAAATTTTAGTGCATGATCTCCACTAGCATCATTTAATGCAAATACATCAAATGACCACTTGTCTATATTCTGTGTAGAAGGGAAAAAAGGGCATTAGTATGTCTTCACCATGTGCACACAAAGATCACACACCTAGTTCTTAACATGGTCTTCAATCACTGTAGTGGTCCAATTAAAAAAAAAGGAATTTTCTGCCAGTATTGCATCTTGTTTTAATGTTTTGAAGGGTTTTTAATTTTTGTGTTCATTTTTCCATGTTTTAGATATCATAATATGAAGAAAAGTAAATATAGACAAGAAAGGAGATACTCAGAGGTGGGTTCCTACTGTTTCAGTCCAGTTCGCCCGAATAGGTACTAGAAATATGGTGTACCTTTCCGAACCGGTAGTAATGGCAGCCTGGGCTCGCCCTGAACTGGTTCTCCTGATGGCGCCATATGCACTGCCATCTTAGGTTTTGCTTCTGCACATGTGCAGAGCAATTTTTATTGCACTAATTGGCCACACCTGCCCACTCCGATGCTCACCCTGCTTCACCTTTGCCAAGTGTATCCACAGAACTGCTTCTTCTGGCTCCTGCCTACATACAGGTAAACAGCATTTGCGCAAGCCTAGCCCTCCCTACCTACCAGCTGCAACCTGGGCCACACCTGGTCAACCGGGTGGCCGGCAGGGAAATTGGCGGGTTTGGCCTTCTCCTCGCCCTCCTTCTGATTTCTCCCCAGCCGCGCTCACCTCCTGTATGGCAAGCAGTGTGTCTGTGTGTTTGTGTGTGTGTAAGGGAGGTTGGATGAGACAGATTAGAAGGGGAGCTTTCTACTTTCGTTTTGAGGGACATGCGGGAGTGGTGGTCACGGACCATTCAATGCTGTAGAAGAAGCTGTGTGTGTGTGTGTGTGTGTGTGTCTGTGTGTGTCTGTGTCTGTGTCTGTGTCTGTGTCTGTGTGTCTGTGTGTGTGTAGGGGCGGCATGGACCATTTGGTGCTGTAGAAGCAGCAGTGGCAGGAGGGGGCACATTTGGGGCAAAATGGGAGACGCTCCACCAGCAGAGGCTCCACGTAGAAGCAAGGGTGCGGCAGCAGGGGGAGGCTGGCTGTTCTCCAAGCCTGTCCTTGGAAGAAGGAGGCAGGGATGCCGGCCCTGGGCTCACATCTCTTACTGCTCACCACCACCCACCCACTCATCACTTTCCTGGGAAGGGCCTCAGACCCATAGCAGGTGGCTGTCCAGCGGAGCCGGGAGCATCCCCAGGGGTGGTGGGGTGATGGGGAGATTGCATGGGGCTGGAGGCAGCAGGGTGGCAGGGGTCAAGGCCATCCTGGGTGCCTGCAACAGGTAGTCAGAGGCCCACCCTGTGAACTCCACTTGAAGGAACAGGCGCCGGGGGTCTTTCTGCCACCAATGCCACACAAAGCACCCCAGTCTGGGTTTTTGCAGGGTCCTGGGGCCAAGGGGCCACTTCCTAACTTCAGAAGGTAGCTGGGCAAGGTGAGGCTGAGCCGTGAGTCTCCCGAAAAGGCTGCCTAGTGGGCAAGGTTCACGCCAAAACCTCTCATGGGAGCGGCAGGTTGGATTTCTCCTCTTCCCCTCCTCTTCCTCTCATGGATTTCTCCTCTTCCTCTCATGGAAGGGGGGGGGGGAGGAATAACACAGCAAAGCAATTAGTGCAGGAGAGAAGCCATGTCCTTTTGCATCCTGCTAAGACCCTTTTTAAGCGAGTAGCCACCTGACCTGCGTGCGCCTTTGCTGCACTTTGGCATTTACTTGAGGGGTGTCTCCCTACATATGCACACTGTCACGGCCACTCAAAGCAGCTAGATGGGGAGTGTGTGTGTGTGTGTGTGTGTGTAGGGGGGGCGTGGATTGTTTGATGCTGAGGGGAAAGTGAGGCTTCTTTGCCAGCCACCCAGCTGCCACAGAAATTTTTGCCAGTTCTGTGGACGTGGCTAGGTGGGGGGGGGGATATTACTGAGTGGGCGTGGGCGTGAGTGATGTTGAGTTGGCCATACCCATTCAGTCACATGCCCACCACACTCACAGAACCAGTTATTAAAAAAATTGAAACCCACCCCTGGATGTTCTCTATTGTGTTGCAAGTTAGAAGAAATTTCATTTAACATTACTGATATCATATTTTTAATTATATTCTAAATGAATGTGTCAAATGAAATTTGGCTGTAAAAAATTCTGTTGTGTTTTCAGACTAAGTATAACCAAGCAATCAACAAAGCACATAGTGAGTAGAATCCATGTTGTTATAGTATCTATCACCTAATATTTTCAAATAAAGCTTTGAAAATAGAAGTAATTAGCATCATTGTACTTAAAATGATTTGTTACCAAAGCATAAATAGAAGAATAGTGGTACATGAAAAATGTTTAGGGATGATTCCTTTTTATTCTCTATATTATTATTGAGAAATGACATAACTTTCCTACTTAAAATTAAAATTCAGATTAGCTGAGCTCATCCAGGCGGCTCATTCAATTAGTATTTAAGGTGCAAACTTCCAGTTGCTGAGTCTCTTTAAAGTTTAAACATGTGGGGCTGATTTTGAGTTTGAGGGATCTATTTGTAATGCTATTCCTTATCTTCAGAATGAAAAAAGTATTGGGGCTTTCAATCTCCAGACAAAGAATTCAGAAGAACTCTAATGGAAATATCTGAACATTGATTTCAGTTTTACCTTTGTCATTTTATTTTGCACCTAGATATAGACAGTGAACCTACATGCCTATAATAACACTCAAAATGTTTAAAATTTCAGATTGGAGTCTTCTGATGCTATGTTCAGGTACTACTACAAATTACTTTTTATTTCCTCAAAGTATTCTAATTGTGGAAAACAAGATGACTAAATTTCATACATACATATATATGATTTGGCTCCAACTGTAAAAAAGACAAAAGGGCAATTCTTCCCAGGATGTAAAATGTAAAGTTGTGTTAGCCTAATAGGAATACTTTGATAGGCATTTAATTTCTGACCAACATTTGCAAAGAAATAATTGAATGTGTTTTGAGCATGGGTATGGATATACATATGTACACACTTTATGAGATCAACCAGACTCAAAAGGTAAAACAAAAATTTCAAGTCTGGTACAAGGATGTTAATGACAACAAAAATATTTGAATTCAAATCCACAGAATGTTGGCAGTTCAGCTTCTAGAAGAATAAGAAGGCAATATGAAGCCTTAAAATCTGTAATGTTCTAATTTACCACATTAATATTTGAAATGATAAGAACAAAACTTAACTTCCTGTTAAGTTTATATTTTCTATTTCACTTTTCACCGTTAAAACAATTCTACTACAGTGGAGTATAATTTATTTTCCCTGAAATTGGTTCATTTCTAATTGAGACAAATAGACAAAAATGAAAGATTTCACAGGAAAAAGTTATTTTCAACTAACAGGAACATTTTCTCTAAGAAGTATTTTCTTTTGTCATAGTAAGGAAAATTTACATCCAACTGGATAAGTGCAATTCTATTAATAGGGGTCACGCTAATGGGTCATCTGTTACAAATATTCCTAAAGCCATGTGATTTTTTTTAGCCCTACTAGTTACAGTGAATTCAGGTGATTATGTAAAATTTTATTTTACTCTTCTTCAAATAAACATGAAGTCTACATCTGAGTTTTCAATGAGGGTTTTTCTCATTTTCTTAGGATCAACACAAGATTTGAACTTGTGTTCCATTAAACTCCTTCTGTGTACAAGTTCATTGACAAACGTAGCTGACCAAGGATATCAGCCATATGAATGATTCATTATAATTTTAATTTCCTTATGTAGAAAGAATTACTTAAATCAGGGATTCAGGCCTGATCCACATTTACTAATGTCAATAGTTGTGATCTGGAACAGTAGTTGAATGGGAATTCGTCCACTCCTTTTACTGACTCAAATATTATTTTATACTTCCATATAAAATTTCAGTTCATCTTGAGGAAAAAGAAGTACTAAAATGTTGCAATTGCATGTGAAAAAATATCCACTTACACAGATTAGGTTGATTGCAAAATGATATAATGTGTTCCTTCACTACATAAAACGTACTGGACAGTTTCATCATAATTTGTTAAAGTAACTTAACATTGATATGTACAAGAAGAGAGGGGAAAAGTAACAAAACTTACATAATGATGTAAACTCTGCTCCTTATATTAAACACAAATACAATAGGGACAGCTTCTACTGAGGGCAACAATGATATTTCTTATTTTGGTAATATCAAATCATTAGAATGGATGCCTATGATGATTAAATATATTGTGCATATTTGTTTCTTTAAGCAGATTTCATTTAATATGAAAATAAAATTTAGGGAAAACAAAATATATAATATGGAAACCAAATCAAGGCTATATTATTTTAATATTTTATAATAAAAAACTATTCATTGATATTACCTTTAGTGCTGAGATTACAGCTGAGGGATAACTAAGTCCAACCATATTGGATGTACGCCTGTACATTCTATCATAATAAAAATAATGTGTAAGAAGTGTAAGAAATGAAAATCCAAACATACCTAAATTCTTTACAGTGGATCTGACTTATCCAAGTAAAACAATTTACCTTTGTTTTTTCCCTCTTTTTTCATAAATTTTATTAGAGATTTTAACTATAGTAGTAAAAACAAATGCAAACTATACTCAGAAAAAACAAATAGAAAGATTAAAAAGTTCAAAGAAAAGGAGAAAAGAAAAAGAAGAAAGTTAGTTAAGGAAAAAGAAAAGAAATAACTTACAATCTTCATCACAAGTAAAGATAAATGTAATTACTCTTCACCTTTATAAAATTACAAACAAAGAAGTTTTGGGAGTTTCATCACTGGAAGCTTTTAAGAAGAGACTGGACTCTCATCTCTCAGAAATGGCATAGGGTCTCCTGATTGGGCAGGGATTAAGACTAGATGACCTACAAGGTCCCTTCCAACTCTGTTAATCTGTTAATATATAAATCTCTTCTTCCCATAACTTAACCCTGATCTATATGCACATCCATCAACTTTTCACCCAAATATACCTATTGTGTTTCTATGACAAATATTTATTTGTATTAACAAGTAGCTTCCAATTATACCTAGTGCTTTCTACAAATATGCATTTTGCATATAAAGTGTCATGTGCTGTGATATAAAGGGTATAAAATTTACTACCTGTGTCCTAATAGAGACTATCAGATTTTCTATTTTTCATTCATCCAAATGGGCTGATGGGCTACAAAGAGAAGTATTAGTAGTAGATTGGCAAAAATAATTGTAGGCCCTAAGTAAGTCCTTTTCTTATCTAAGTTTCTTTTCCCTAGAATGCAAAGTATACTATGTCACTAAGAATGGATTGGATTCAGGTTTATACCAACAATTGAAATCAATGAGAATAAAATTATCTTCTTAAATCTTTAAATATGCTTATTTTTAAATCTAATTTATTATAACAGTTGCAATATATATGTATGTGGCAATCATATGTAGTGGTGGTTTTGTTCATGGTTATTTATCTTTGTAGATCATAAAAAATACAATCAGTTTGGTGTAGTAATCAAGTCATAAGATTAGGACCTGGGCAGTGGTGTATTAACTATTAAGCAGACTAAGCATGTGCTTAAGGCACCAGGCCCAAGGGGGCACCACAAAGTTGGGAAAGAAAAAAAAAACAATGAAGATTTATGCAGTATGTGCAAAGGAGGGGAGCACCAAGATTTGTCAGTGCTTAGGGCACCAATGAGCTTTAATCCACCACCGGACCTGGAAGACCATGAGTTCTAGTTCCACTTCAGGCATGAAGCCATTTGGGTGACCTTGGACCAGTCTCTCTTCCTTGGCCCTAGGATTTGGCAATGGCAAAAAAATTGTCATCAGTCAACACTGACTTGAAGGCACTAATTATCATCAGAATATGTGTGTGTGTGTGTGTGTGTGTGAGAGAGAGAGAGAGAGAGAGAGAGAGTCTTTATTCAAGACTCAAGATAAAATGTACAGTCTCTGTCCACTGCTTTTTACCTCTCAACAAATATTCCAGCTTGAACTGCATGAACAATGCTTCTGAAACGTGGTTTTTCTTCACTTCTTCTTAGCATTATACCCATCTGTTGGGTGAAAGTAGAAGCCAGCCAGTCCCGTACCTCTGAAGGCACAGAGTCAGACTGGATATCGCTAAGCTCATCTTCTGTGTCCAAGAGGCGCCTACAAAGGACAGAGGAAAAATTATATTAAGTAATACTTATCTTGAAACAATATTCTTCCAATTGTCAGACATGTAAAACCCATATATAAATCTATTGGTTAGTGAATTTATAACTTTGTTTTATTCTATTTCATTGTGCAGATGACGTAAATTTAATGAAAACTATTACTGATAGCTTATTTTTAGAAGGCACAATAATCATGTAGTGCACATTGTATTTTTAGACTTATTCATGATTAAAACTGCAATATATCCAGGACTCAACTGTGCATTTATGCTTAGCATATTTTTAAATGCTAGTGGCTTAACCAAAATGCTTGTCTGATGTTTTTTCCATTCTTTTGCCATTTCAAAAGTTCAAGATAAGTTATTCTATGGTAGAGATATTTCCACAATTTGAAAAGAGACAAAAGAAAACATAAAAACTCATGCTTGTTAGTAGTAACTTTTCAGTATTTAAAAAATAAAACTATTTCATTCCAAATTCTTCTACAGTTCTTCCAAACCTTTCAAGACTTCTATAGCAAACTTTAACACTGAATTGAAATGTTTTCTTTATGGAATGTCTTTGGCCTACCCTTCTCAGTATTGGACAAATGAGAAACAACTATCTCCTTTATCAAGTTTTGAACTGTTAATTTAGTGATAGTGATAGTGATTTTAAAGTTAATTTCAGTTGAATTGAATTGCATTTGTTTATTATGTTAATTTGCTTGTATTTGTATGCTGCCATAATGTGCAAGGGCTTCTTACAGTTAACAAACTATAATGGTGATCATAATTTAAAATGTACATGGTAATCATTAGATAGAACAATAAATTATTAATACTGTTTCTTGAATTATCATGCAAATAGAAAAAATGAGTTTAAACTGAATTATATTTTTAGAAATGGAATATAAGTTGAACAAATTTTTTATATAAAAATTAAAGATGGCTAAGTTGCCAAGCAAATGTTTTAATAATGCTGAACTGAATGCATTCTTTGTGCCTCTATAAAGAAAAAAAATCATTTCAGCCTTGTGCTTTCTGGATGGGGCCAGGTAGATAAGTTTTAATTTATGTCTTATTAACAAATCATTTTCCTCTCACACAAAGTGAGAATAGCTGCAGCTGTTAGATAAGAGAAAGTGTTTGGTGGAAACTTGATGAAAGAATACTGGAATAATGCTAACATTTTCATTTCTTAAGATAACATATTTACTGATTAGTAATACTGTAGTATTTCTAGGAACATAGACATTTTTTAAAACTTTATTAAAAGAATATATATATATATATATATATAAAAATAATATGCCCTATGGTCTAAAAATATTATGAAGTATTGAGTTAAAAACAAAACATAAATATACTGAAATAATTACCTCACCTAGTTTCATCAATATATACAGATTCCAACACAGTAGCTGCATATTCTAGGTTCTTTTTTAGATCATCAACAGAAGCATCTCCTTTCTCCAGTTGTTTTACCAAAGATCGTAATCTGTGAGAAGAAAACAAAAATTTGATTCATAGAATTCTGTTTTTCAAATTTTATGTTCTGTAAGTGCTACTTAATATCCCCCATAACATTCTTAACTTCTTAATAGCACAGTCATAGTTGTAATAAGTGAAGGTTACTATAACTATATGCAATCCTAGGGCACAGAAATCACAGTATCATAGCAAACCTACTAATATTGTCTAGATTAATTAATACCACAATAATAGAAGATTCATTTTTCTAAAAGCTTTTTCAATATGGCTTATAGTGTAATTTAAAATGTGCAGGCATTAAAAATTAAATACAAAGAAACAAAGAAAATAATATATACAGTATATATTACAAGACAAAGTTTATTAAAATATGTAGTTTTCTAAAAACAAGAACAAGTCGAATGATTGCATTATTAGTATTTACAAATACAATAAATGCCTTTTATTTCAACAAGAAAGATTTTCAGCACTACCACAAGAAGCAGGGAGGTGGCTGTCATATAGATTGAGAAAAGAAAGAGGAAAAAAGATTACTATATCAACTTCAAGAGGAAACTGGTGAACTACAACATACAATAGAAGGGAAGAAAAAGATTGCATACAAGTACTTTGAGAATGTGTATAAAGGGGAACAAGTAGATGGAAAACAAATAAAAGAATATCTAAATGGAGAAGAAACCCCATCAATAACAGAAGATATGAAAGAAATGTTGTCAAAAAAAATAACAAAACTAGAATTGAAACAGGCGATTCAGAAACAGAAAAATAATAAAACACCAGGCCCAGATGGATTCCCAGCAGAATGGTACAAAATAATAAATGAATTGAATGAATAAATGAATTGATAGAACACTTGATGTTGGAGATGTATAATGAAGCATTGATGAAAGCAAAAATACCAGATTTATGGAGGGAAGCACATATTACATTAATATTTAAAGAAGGTGCAGAAAAAACAGATTCA